TGCTGGTAGGTCGCATTTTTTCCATTTGTCTCCCCTTCCACCCTCCCCATTCTTAGTCATATAAAAATTCCAAAGCCACTGTTGGAAAGATCATAAAATTCTGCTTCTATTTCTATGATACACTCGATAGGTTTGTGGGAAAGCTTATGTTTAAAGCCAAAACTATAGAATGAAGATGACCGACTTCGCATAAATGGTCCCATATGACTTTTGTTGTGGTAGCGGAAACTTAGAAACTTCTTGTGTGCACGATAGGGTTCAGATAAGGGCAACATGCTCAACAACCAGTCCAAGCCTCAAGTACCCTTCATGTATGTTTCACAATATTTAGAGTGGAAATACCTTTACACTTATAAGAGATTTGAAAAATCAAGAAAATATTACCCTGAAAAATTTGGGTTTTGAGAAGAGGCAATTTGCACATGCACAATCATAATCATCATCGACATTTTATAGCCATTTTCCAATCTTACTTGAGCTTGCCATGATTAACTGATGGCAGCTCTCTATGCTGTGTGGTTGCTTGCAGCCTCTAGTCAGGTTTGTAATGTGATGTTATTTCTTAGAACCTTTCCTAAGTCATTCTTGCCCATCCCCTGACTCTCCTCCCCTCTACACTTGACTCATTCCACCAGTTGCTTTCCTTTATTCTCTCCACATGTCTAAACCATCTCACCGTACCATTTACACAACTGCACCTATTTTGTATCCACCTTCCACACTCCCTGCACATATTGAGTTGCTACCAGCAACACCATTCTAGCAGACTGCACAAGGCCATTTTCCCACTTTCCACCATGGGTTTCTCACCCACACCAATAGCCATTACTTTTGTTTTGGCCACATTCACTCTCAAGCCGTTCGACTCCATTCCATCCTTCTATTTTTTTTTTTTTTAATTTCTCCAGTGCCTCTTCAATACTAACTGCTATCAGCTTTAAGTCATCAGCATACAACAACTAGGGCATACCAGTCATGAAGTCCCATGATAGTGCCTCCAGCTTTATGACAAACAGAAGAGGGCTCAAGACAGACCCTTGATGAACCCCCCTACCTTCACCTCAAATATGTCACTTTCCAAGCCATTTACTTAGTGTTTTCTTTAGTCCTTTTGTAATGCTATAACCACTCATATAAAACACTCCTCAACTCCTTAGTTTCTCATTGCCCATTGTATAACCTCAAGTGGTGCTTGTCAAATGCCTTTTCAAACTCTACAAATTCAAAGTACAGCATTCTTTCCAGCTCTATATTATTATTGTACTGTATTTGCCTGGCCATACTTTCAGACAATTTTGGTTCTTTGATATGAAGTTACAGTACATATGTTTCTCCCTTTTTTGGAAGTGAAATCTGCCATTAACGTGAATTATCAATATACGGTACAGGCAGATCTTTTATAACACCCTCGTCAAACGTATTTTTGCTTAATGGACACGATAGAAATATCTATATACAGTAGTAAATATAATACATAGCATTAAAAAAAAATTGCATCAACGGTAAAAGAAGGAATGAACGTGTCTGTTCCCATCTTTGTTTAGAGCCTCTGTCAGTCGGCGGTCGTCAATGTGTAAAGCTCGCCAAAACTTGTGCCAATTCTGTTTCTGTGGCTCTTTTCTATTTCACAACCTTCTGTGAGTTTTGAGTGAATATTTTACATCCATTATGTCTGGAAAACTGCCTGCGAGTGAGTGTGTTGGTAAAGCAGCCAAAGTGACTTGGAAAATCATTAGTATGAATGTGAAAATGCAAGCTATACAAAGGGTTGAGGCAGGTGGGTGCCAGGCAGACGTGGCTTGATCACTTGGCTGAGCTTACTCTGCCATTAAAATAATACTCTGACAAAATTAACTGGTGAGTGTTAACATTGTCTTCATTTTATCTACGAAAAATCATAATAACATCTGAAGAGCCATTACCTTTACCCAAGGAAGCCATCTTGTAGCATTTACTGGATAAGAATTACACTGTTAGGAACACTTCTCTAAAGCCACTATAATGACCTTACTTAGCAGAGGTGCCTCAGAAACAGCTTGTCTATTATAAGAGGTCTTCCTGTATTTTCTTTGACCTTGAAAAAACATATGATACAGACGAGATATGACATGCTTAAAAATATATATATATATATGCTTGGACTTTGTGGATCTCGCCTATAGTTAATCCAAAATTTATAATCTCAAGTACATTTCATGTTCGGGAAGGTGAAATCTTTTCTACACCAATAGAATGTTTGGAAGGTGTTCCCCAAGGTAGTGTCCTCAGTGTAACATGCATTTCTGTTTTCTTTTTGGTTTATAGTTCTCTTAAAAATGTACACAAGTGTAGTGTGTTAAGTGTACATGATTTAAATTAGAACCCTCTGTCCTTGATCCACTATACTACAGCGTACTGTATTAAATTGAAATGCGTGACACTAAGACCTACTGTATTTGATGGGGCATGTGAAAATTTTGCTGAGGGAAGTTTGTAAATGTCTTGGTGGACCTTGCAGCTGAGGAGAAGGCAAATTCATTCAATTTTGTAAATTCCCCATTACTACATACAGTAGGTGGGTGATATTTCAAGTCTGGAATACTAACAAGTTGGGGAGCACAAAGGGAACAGATCGTATGTGGTGGGGAGGTGGACTACAGATTACCAGTTGACCTGATTTATTGTAGTGTTCTTATTATGTGTCATGCTTTGTGATGGACCCTGACTTTTTAAGCTGGACACCTGGGCAACTTGAGAATTTAGTGAGAAGTGTGGATATTTTAATATGATTTCTGTTTGTTACAAAATTTTAGCTGATTGAATACCATGTTATTTGTCTGTGAAATGCAAGTATATATCTGTTTAGATTGAGTGAGGAAGAATGAAAGCATATGGGAGATGATGTTAAAAATGTGGACCTTTTATCACTCTCAGAGCAGAATAGTCTGTTTTTTAAGTATTTTTTTATATAGGGTATTGGTAATAATTTGGATTTTAAACACTGAAGTACTGTTTTATCTCCTTGTCTACATAAGGTAAATCTGTTTTTGCTTTTAGAAGAAAGTTTTATACAGAATTTCCTACTAATATACAATTACAGGGTATAATAGTTGCTGACCATTTACAGGTACAGTACTGAGGAGTTTGAGCTGCCTTCTAAAGTTGAATATGTCAACTATTCATATATGTATTAATCGGCATAGTATCCCATTGTATTTACTCATTTTCATGGTTTTTATTAGACATTCCCTTATTGGGTATACCTCAGGGTTTTACAATTTAGATTTCTGTATTATTTTTAGCACTTTATTTTCTTGGAGTCGGCATGTAAACCACTGTACATATTTCATTCATGTTTAGTTTTGGTTGAAATACCATACCACTTGTACCTATCACAGATATATGATCAGATACAAGATGACATTTCAGTGGCCATTTGTCTTGTGTTGGATAGATGTAAAAGGGGATGCTTCTTTGTTTCTTGTCAGTGAATGAACCTTGTAACAGTTACTTGTGCCAGCTTATATTTGCGGTTTAATTCTTACCGTACAAATGCTATACCTTGTACTTTCATTCCTTTATTTATCAGCATTTAAGCTTTGTACTTTTTCTCACCTATTCTTATTCTGTGTACTTCTTGAGTACAGTTATTCTATTAATATACATATTGTTGTCATATGATTTGAGAGACCACCACTCAAGCTTACATTGATCTAATATGGTACCTATTTAGTCACTTGTCATGGCTCAGAATTGCCAAAGACAAATGAACTGTTAACCTCTGTTTTTTCTTCTCACATTTTGTACAATTGTGCTGAAAGTACTGAACTATTAGCAACACTTTTTTTTTTTACAAAACCATCTTGTTTATTGTTCTATCTGACACTTGGTACTCTTCAACTATACACTGAACAGTCTCCAAACATATTCTCATTCATCTCATTGTGTTTTATACATACTATTCTTAACATCTTTGTTTATCATATTTTTATTATACAGCGTATTCAAATTTCCTATTTTTACGTATACTTACCACTTAATCAATTTCATTTAGGATAAATTGGTTTGACTCTGGCCTTTGGTACCTTTGTATATTAGCAGATATCATGGTGGAATTTTCTTGCTTCTCATTTTACAGATGGTGAAGTCATGGGGAATACTGTAGTGGCACTGTGGGGGCCTGTGAATAAGGCAATATAGTTGCAAGAAGTAGTGTCGTGGTGGGTTCAGTCAATGAGGCAATAAATTCAGTGGTTGTAGTGGCATCATGGGGTTGTGGAGATGAACCAATAAGTCATAGGGTCAGGCAGGTTAAAGTAACAAAAGTCATGGGGAGGACAGTAGTAAATACATGAGAGTAATTCAAGCATGGTTGTTGATTTTCTGTATTTAGGGTGTACTGTGGGAAGTAGTGTTGTGAAGTTATGAGGATCCTGAAGACATGGGTGGAGGTTGGCACTAGTAAAGTTATGGGAAGTGCAGTGTCTTTTAAGTCATAGGAAGTGATGCCTTAATGTGGGTGGTGGTGTAATATTAAGTAAACATTTAAGGGTGATAATGTAATGGTGTTTGTTCATAGGTGTTGCTGTCCCTTAAATTAGACACATTTTTCAGAGTTAAGAGGGTGGCTGGTTATTGAGAGTATACAGTATTCTTGAAGGTCTGCATAGAGACAGGCTGAGATGGTTTGGGGATGTGGAGAGAATAAGTGAGACAATTGGGTCAAGAGGTGTATGTGTCTAAATTTGGAGGGGAGGAGAACCAGGGCTAGGCCAAGAATGACACAAGAAGAGGTTGTAAGAATTGACATTAGAGTTAGGAACCTGACAAGAGAGACTGCAAGAGACTGTGTAGTATGGAGAGCTGCCATTACTGTAGTTATCCACAGTTAACCCACACAAGCATGGACAATGGCCATAAAACAATGATGAAGCTGATGAGCCGTTGTTATATTTTGAAAGATTCTTTGATCATTCAACCAACAGTTTGTTTGTAAAATACTAAATTGTGAATAATTTCAGGTCACTGGTCACGACAGGGAACTCCAGAGTGGGATGAAGGGGATGCATCTTTACCACCAAGAACATCACGTCGCCACAATGATGACCGACGTCGTGTAGCTGATGAAGAAGAAACTGTTTTAGATGCTGCTGAAACTGGTAGTGTTGGCAGTCTTGATCGAGGTTAGTTCCATCATATAACATTACTGTACTTCTATTGATTTTTACTCAGTGATGAAAAAAATTGAGGGCATTATATGTTTGCCCTATCTTTCCATCATTCCTTCACACAAGTTCTTGCACAATAATTCATTCTTGTACAAGTAATTCTTGATCAAACTTTGTCTTATCATAATTTCTGAAAAGGTCAATATCATCAACACCCAACAAAATGCTTACCTATATTAATTCTTTACATGCACAGAAATTATTTCTTTGATGTACTGTACACAATTTCACATGCAACCAGGAGGCAAGCATGAGTGTTTCACAAACACACATTTCTAATAAGATTTTTTGAGGAATGAATTAAAAAAGTGAACAAAGGCTCCATTGTAATATATGTATAGAATAGCAGGTACTGTACTGTATTTTGACAAATAATAGCCAAACTTTTGTTTTGTTTCTAGATAAAAAATAAAAGTGGAGGATGTGGCTTACTATCAGTTACAAATTTTAGTACTGTACAGTATAGTCAAACTTCCTTAATCCAAATTGTTTGGGACCAAGCCCTGTTCAAATTCTGGAAAAATTTGAACTTTGGATACCTAACATCTTTTTTTTTATTCACAATTTAAGTGTAATAATTATGCACAAATTGCCCCAAATCATAATATTTTCTTAATCCTTAAATACTGTGGAAAGTAAGTCATTGTTTGCTTTTAAAACTTCATAGCAGTGATATCCCATTAGCCGGAACAATTGGTGCAGAGCATTTCTGGGAATGAGAGATTTCTGGGTAACGAGACGACTCTCTCAAATCTGGAAAAAGTCCCTCATCTCCAGAATTTTCCGGGTAATGGAAAAATGTTCTCGGAAGTTCCAGAAATTGCCCATTACATCACCTCTTGAACCCGGAAAAATATCCCTTATCCTCGGAATTTTCCGGGTAATGGAAATTTTTTTTCCGAATTTCCAGAAAATGCACCTGATTTTCATCTCTCAAACCCGGAAAAAACTCCGCTCATCCCGGAATTTTACGGGTATTGGGAAAATATTCTCGGAATTGTTCGGAAAATGTGCCCCTCGGAAAATCGTTTCCAAGGTCAGAATTTTTTGAAAAATATGCCACTCGAAAAATCGTTCCCAAGGCCATAATTTTCCGGAATTTAAATTTTCTCGTAAAATCGCTCCAAAAACTGTAATTTTCTGGAAAATTCCGGTTTTGGGAGCGATTTTACGAGAAAATTTCAATTCCAGCTATCGGAGAGTTCCGGATTTGAGGGATTACAGCTAACGGTTAACGAGATTTCGGTTAACTAGTTACCTTCCATAAGATTCTTAACTTCGGTTAACGAGCAATCCCTCGATTAACGAGTTTCTTACGAGCCAACCTGAACATGATTTCGCTTGCATTTGGCGGTCCACCAGCTGTAGTATTTGTCCGCCAATACAGTAATCGGTTCTAGGGCTTAAATTCCTTACCATTTTAGCAAATATCAAGAAGTTTATACTATTCAATAATTTTAAAAGTTTAATATTAAATTTTTTACTCATTTTAACAATTATTGAACATAATTGAAGGTAATGAAACTAGTTTTATGCGTGCCATCCAGCCTCTCAACACACCATACAGGCGTCAGTCTTTGTATCTTTTCAGTGGAGGTAACATCTTGCTTGAGACTCTCTTCAACTAAATGCTTTTTTTCTGTTTTTGCAAGCAAATTATTGGTCATTTTGAAATTTATTTTACATATTGACAATATATAATGCAGTGCAGTGTTGATTTAAAGAAAATAATCTTGAATTGCACCAAGAGAACTAAAATTTTATGGGTGAAATGGCGCCATGGGGTGACTTCTCTTCCACCCCAATGCCTTCTCTTCTCCCTTCTCCACACCCCCATTCTAATTCCCATCATCATCATCCAGGAGCCTTCTACATACACACCTCAAAGTAAGTGTACTTTTCTACCTTTTTTGTTGAATTTAGGCAATTTTCGGTGAGCTGGAACCAATTACCCAAAAACCCATTGAAACAATGGTTTCGGTTAATGAGTTTTTTGGTTAACGAGCAACCTTCTAGAACGGATTGTGCTCGTTAACCGAGGGATCACTGTATATGTAATATGTATTTACAAAAGCAGCAATACAGTAGCAGTACTGTACAGTACATTAAAAAATCATAAAATATTTACAAAAACAGCAGGACATCACATTGAAACAATCTAAAAATAATCATGAGTGATGCCTGTGACGCCATCTTGTGAGACTAAGAGGGAAACGTTCACTCATCAGCACTCAGCTGATCGCTCACATCACTGACCCATGGCAAGCAGCAGTTACTGTTGTACTGTTTATACACAAACTCTATGTTTATTCAGGTATCGGCATATACGTACTTGAAAAAAAAAATAATGTTGTATTAACATATTGTTGAATAAAATTTTATTAAAATGCACAAACATTCATTACTACAATCAGTGCTATGAAATAAAAACTGGGATGAAGGAGTTATAGAATAAGTTCCTGCACTGCCAGGCAAATGATATGCTTGGTGTAACTGATTTTATGAATGGTAATGCTTGATAAGAAAAAGAACTATGAATAGTAATGCTTGAATAGAAGAAAAACATTGTACTGTATACAGGTATGTAATGTGTTCGAATATAAGCATTTACTGCTCATTGTTTATTTACATGATCTTTCATATCCACACACAAGTGTGGAGGGAGCCAATAAACACGATGGAGGCAGCAGTCACTGGGCAAACTCTAGCCAGTTTTTCCAATTAATTTATTGTTGGGGATAAAGTGACTTTCACTTTGCCATTCCCTTATTAGTTTCACTCTCAATATAAAAGACAAGATTTCCTCACGTATTTCCAACACCATATTCCTCTCGAAGGAAGCGAACAGACACCCTTATCACTACAGCACTAGAGTCAGCACTATCACGTGGTCTCGGAATGTATTATAGGGTAACTCGGGAAATGCTGAGATATATAAAATTATCTGGGAAAATCTCGGCATATCTGGCCGCGAGGGTAAGAGTAACGCCATTCGGGACGCCGGGCCGTGCTCCAAGCGTGGGTCAGTCTGGTGCTTGTTATTGTTGCAGTCGGGTGTGTGCGGCTTGTCTCTTCACACTTTGTTCTCTGCTTGTGTTCTTCCTCTTCAAATATCACTGATATGGCATCTACACCCTCAAGGAGCTATAGGAAGGGCATGAAGCTCAAGCCCCTGAGTCTTCAGGAGAAAAATAAAGGGTTGGACCAAGTGGATGCTGGTGCATACATGCGTATGGTATGTGAGGAGTTAGGGATCAAGTCCAGCACATGTTACGATATAAAAAAGAATCGGGACAAGATTCAAAAGCACTTTCTAAGTCTAGAGGACTCAAAAAAAGTGCAGAAAAGAATTGAACCAGCAAAATTTATTGATTTAGATCAACCTGTGTACAAGTGGTACAAGCAGGAACTTGCCACAGGTGTCAACGTATATGGCGTGGACATTACAGTACAGTACAATACTAGTGTTTTAATGAAAATACTTTGTACATGTAAAATTCTTTATTTTATATAAGTGAACAAATTACTGTACAGTAGTACAGTACATAAGTGCCTCCATCGTCACCCACCATACCTTTGTGTCACCTACCATGCATCTGTGTCACCTACTATGATGCTTCATTCTTCGCCTGCAGTGTTGGCATGTGTTACTTTATTACATTTCGTAATTTCATGTACACACATATGGGTCAATAAATATTATTCGAATATGTGCATATGTACATAAATATTCAATATCATATACCGTACAGGACGTCCCTGACTTAAGAGCGCCCGCCGATACGAACGGGGTTAAACTTGAAATTTACAGTACTGCACTGTATTTTATTTACCTGATGACTTAATTTTTACTTTCATTTATTGTATATTGTTTTTCTATTTCTACTTCATATCCATTTTATGTAATTTCTTTACTATACATTGAAAGTTAGAACTGAAATTAACTTACTTAATTTTTTACAGAATCAGTTACCAGTGAAGGAAAGAGACGTAGACGTCGACATCGCAAATACCGCCGCCGCGGGGGCGGTAGTGAAGCAGGTGACTTGGAGAGTTGGGGAACTTCGGCTGAAGATGGCTGGACCACCTCTGCTAACGAGGGCTGGGCTGGTGATGATAATTGGCTTGCTGCAGGTGAAAGTTGGGATGCACTGTCAGCACCTGGAAGGGCTTCCAAGGAACGTACTCCAGGATTTGAACAAGGTGGGCGTCGAGGTAGAGGACGAGGTATGCCAGATGGGCCTCCAAGTAGGGAGGGAACACTATCTCGCAGGCGCCCCCCACGTCATGAGGGTACTCCAGCTCGGCAGTCTCCAGGAAGACGCCCTCCACCACAGCCCCGTAAACCTCCACCATCAGCTGTAAATGGCAACTAGGATATGGGGTAATTTCAGAGCTGAAGGGATGGCCTCCCTCCCCATCTTGTGATATTTACAATTAGGCAGACTAGGCAGTTCCACGCCTGGCACTCCGATTGTATTTATACAGTATAATGAGGCTGAACCACTGCTGGTGAAGAAGAATAAGGTCCTTCCTGAAGTAATCCACCACTCATATTGATAATGACAAACTGATATATAAATTGTTGCCTTTCTTGTTCTGTTTTAAAAGGACATTGAAGTGGACCTCCCCATTGTGAAAACTTATTGAGATGAACTACACAATCATAAGGATAGGACTAGAGATAACAACCTCAATGCATATTGACAGCCAGTACAGAAGCTTGGCATAATATGAAAATTAATTGAACAAAACTGAACAAAAGAAATATGATCATTTGGTGGCTTACTGTAATATATATTGGTTTTGGAATAGCAAACGAGTGTTAAAACTCTACGTGTCCAAGTACCTTCTTTTTTTTTCTTTTTTTTTCTTAATCAATTGGCCAAATTAGTAACTTCAAATCCTTGTGAAATATTCTTTGAATGCATTTCTTGTATCTTGTGACTAACATTAAAGACTCATGGCTTGGATTTGGAACACAGAGATATTTGCCAAAAAAAAAATATTTGTTGTTCCATTATGCTGCAATTTTTTTCCATCTGTTAAACCAATTTTCATCATTAATGGTTTAATGATTACCTACAGTTTCAAGGAGTTAACAGTTATTGATATTTAGCAATTGAGGATATAACTAATTTAAAGTACTTTAACTTAAATAGGCTTAAATAAGGAAATCTTTTTTTTTTTTTAGAAAAATAACTTGAGTTTAGTTAATTAAATTTTGTGAGATTTATATCACAGCAAATATGACTGGGCTCTAATAGGTGTAGAATGGCTTGTATCTTTTGGCTAATTTTTGTCCTTTGTAGGCATCATTGCTTTATTTTAGTTTCATTTGTGTTTGTCTGAAGTCCATACTGCATGTGGTTACTCAATTTGAAATTAGTTTGATGATATTACAAAGCACATTTCTTTGTCTGGTTATACCAAGTATGAAGATGGTCACTGCTCTTAATGTGGCCAATCCCATTGATAAAGGACATATCCAACACAGTGAAGACTTGTGATGCACACTGGCCTCTCACAGGTGGCTCAACTGACCATAAGTGGTAAAGCTATAGTTATTGTTGTTCACCATTTGCTGTGTCATCTCTCTATCTCCTGTTGATATAAAACACGGGCAGACCACGATTTACCAGGATTTCATTCACGAAAATTTGTATTTATGAGAATTTTGATTTGGTCCCATGTTTTGATTGATGAGCGTAACCCGAATTTATGTGAGAAAACCCAATTTGTTTCTTTAATTTATTTAATTAATCTCTACCACTAATACTCTTATTAAGTCTATAAATAAGCGTTCGGTGTGTTGTCATTCTCGGACAGTCGCCATATAAATTAATCTTCAAACTCAAGTGACGACAAGTGACTCGTCATACACATGATCATTGTGCCAGTTGCCTGATTGTCCAGTTTTCCTCACTTAGTCTCAAGTAACAGTGGAAATTTGAATAGAAAATTAATCTGTATTCTTGGAATTCATATGCTAATTATTTACAATAAAGGTGTAAAGTTGTAATAGAAAGTGTGGGATTTGCAAATGAAGAAATGCTTAGAGGCGTTTTTATTGCCAAGAACACATGAGGCAGGGTGAGTGGAGAGTCAGGTGACTCAGTTGAGATGCTGGCTGGCTGGGGCTAGTAGGACTAGCTGGTAGCTGGTGTGTACCATAAATATGTTGCATCTCTTTATGTGCTGAAATTTTTTCTCCAGTGGCTTTAAGGCACCACTTCTTAAATATTTAAAACCAGTCCACAGTGAAATCACTGTGCTATGGAATTTTCAGATCTTCATAGGCACAGTTTTCATAGAATTTCCATTTTTTTTTATGTACAGGATATCCCTACGATTCCTTATAGTGCTGTTAAACTTAGTTCTGAGACTTTGGTATTTGTTTGAGGGCAAGATGAAAGCAAAATAAAATGAATACTGTACTGTATTACACTTAGAATACAGAGCACATGCGGCCTGATGCTTGAATCATTGTTGGTTATCGTTCAAGGCATCTGACAGCAGCGTTAGTACCATGTAAACGAAGGGGAAATTTAGAATGACGCAATGACAGATGAAGGGTTGAATGTGGGATTTTGTTTTTTGTTTTACTGTATTATACTGTAGATGTTTACTTAGCATTTCATGCAGTTCACTTTGTTTCAAGTCTCATGCAGTCTCTTTAAGTACAGGTTGAAAATTTTTACTGTACTCTACTGAATGTACAGTATTTCACATATGATTATTATTGCCATTTAATAATTTTGTACACCAAAAATTTTCATTGAAATATGTTTGGTCACATTTTGTGGCATTTCAAGATGTCGTGGGGAAGTTTTTTCTTAAAAATGTCTTGGTTTTTATAATGGGAGTCTTCTAAAATTTGCATTGATTTAAAAAAAAATATTTTAAAGAGTTTTCAGGAATTTAACCTCTTGTAAATGTGGGTCTGCCTGTAGTAGATTTGTGTTTATAATTGAACACATTAAACATTTCAGAAAGAATTTAAGTTTTGTAGATGTTTATGTTAGGTTGATATCAGTTATTGGATTTTAGATTTTTCTTCAAGAATAATAATTATAGCTTTGCCCAAATTCCTTAGCTCTGTACAGCCAGAGCAGTATATGATATTATCGTGCACGACATGCTGGCTCTTTTTGCTTGATAGAGAACTTTTCAGAAGGAACTGGTGTGTATAAGATCTTTGAATTGTGCACTGAAGTACCATTTCTAATCTGCATGTTGGTTTCATATGAAGCATAATAATATCTTGGTGATGTATGCAGTGGATGCTGTGTTCTTTGATATGTGCTGCTAAAAATAGGCAAGTGATGTACTGTAGGGTTATCACCAGTGGACTAACGTATATGGTAACCTTTATCAACAATTCTTATGGATGACAGTATGCCACAGTAACTAGTGTACTTTCATTGACAGGACACATGAATATATGGCATGATATATATCATATTTGCTAAGAAATGATCTTTGTGATGATTCATGATACAAGAGAACAAGTGTAAGATTTCTGATATTGATGTAGTACTGTACAATACTACAGTTTCAACAAAGTATTTAACATGTGAATTGTTAAAGTGAATATTCATAATTTCGTTGACCTAGTTCTCTTTAGGTCATTTATTGTTGGGTCTGGATATTACTTGTTTTATTGATAGTTTGGATATACTAGATACTGTTGAAGTGTTGTAAACAGGGCTTGTTACTGGCTTGTTAAAGTTTAATCTCCCAGACAAGACATACCCTTTTACTGTAGAAGGGTAGCAGTACAGGCAGCAAAGGGGTATTATACAGGGTTATTCATAAAACTGCTACCAGTGGTCATATTATAAGGAGGTACAGGATGTTAAAGGACTCTGAAAAATTAACAAACTCAATTTTCAGTATCCAGGGTGATGAATGAAACACGCCTTTCACTGTTTTGAAATATGTTGCTAATGATGGTGAGCAAATTGAACATCTGTGGTAGATTAAATAAACTTTACCTTTCTTTTACATACTGATAAAATTTTCATGAATAACCTTGTATAGCTAAAAAAAAAAGGACTATGTTATTTCCATTTTTATAACATATTACATGACTTACACCAGAAAGCATGGAACTGCTTTTGCGAAGTTGAAAATTTGTTCAGGTTTCATGCATTCTGTACAACAATGTCACCAATATTTGATAACTGAAGAGGCAGATACTAGAGACTCCTTTTAGCATGTACAGTATATTGCAAACATATCAGTAGAACTTTTTAGGCATTCACTGCTGCAGAAGACTTATGTATGGTACTCTTATATAGAAAACTGAAGGACACATTCACTACAATACAATGAACAGAGACTCATACTATGTGCTCTGTTGGCACAATGCTAAAAGATCTTACTTGAATGCACTACTAGTGTCAAACTGACTAATCTTCATGATGAGGACCATGTCACAAAGATTATCATGTCCCTAATGCTACAAAAAAATTTACCAAGTGTATCACTTGCGGTAAGGCAGTTCCAGGTATTTCATCAAGGAATATTTGCTGTAATATTATCCTTTATGATAACACTGCAAATGGGAACATTGCTTTACATGATGGGACCTGCAAACATGTGCTGTTAGCTTCTCAAAGTAATAGGCTCATATTCTGAGACAGCATTCTAAAGAGTGTCTCAGTGGTGGATGAACATCCTTTGAGACACAATATCTAACATGTCATTTTTGACCACTTATGCCTGGAGAAGGTTATATAATCTCAGTAATGACAATCTGCTATTTGAGAATGTGTGCCAATGGGAGCAGGTGCATGTGATGCTAGTGATGACTCAACAGCTCTCCACATGGCTTGTTTTAGCTACACCCTCTTTGTATTTGCTGCCTTGGAAATGAAAAATTATAGCAGTGATATATATTTGTTTTATTCATCATAAAGACAATCTGTTCTAACAAAGACCGTGTGTGTGTGTGTGTGTGTGTGTGTCAGTTCATGCCATAACTCCAAGACCATGAAACTTTGCATGCATTGGGTACTAAAGGGGCCCAAGGGGTGTGCATTTGGCTGTTACTTTTTAGATTTGGCTAAAGCAGGTTGTGGCAGGGAAGAGTGACAGGAGCCATATGTACAATAACATTTCCCTCTCTGTCAACATCCCGTACCTGCCTGGCTGGGGTCAAGTCCCACATAAAATTGATAGTGTAGTTGATGTAGTATGGATGATAGTATAGTTAATGTATAGTGGGGATGATAGTGTAGTTGTTGTAGTATAGATATAGTGTAGTTGATGTAATGTAGATGGTAGTACAGTATAGTTGATGTAATATAGATAATAGTGTAGTACAGTACAGTGAAACTGAACCTACTTTGGTTGGCGTTCCCCTTGGTCTCGGTGTGAGGTGTAACGTAACCTTTCTCAATGGTGACTCGATCATTTTTATTTGTATTACTTTTATAAACAACTGTATGAGTACCATAAAAAATGGCACATATGGTATATACTGTATACTGTACACCCAATATACCTGAAAATGTATCTCATGTACCCCCTCATAAGGCTTCACGTACTGTACACCCTGGAGGTCCATGGACCCCTGGTTCAGTTGATATAGTGTACACCCACTAAAAAATTATTCGGCACCCTTGTCATATTGTAACATGCCGTAAGGGTGCCGAATAATTTTTTATTGGGTGTACAACTTATTGGCACACATTGGGATGGCCTCTTTGGCCAGTCTGTACTGTACTGTATACTAACTAAAATATTATTCGGCACCCTTACAGCGTGATACAATATGACACGAGTGCCGAATAATTTTTTAGTGGGTGTACGTGATGCTGTAATTGATGTAGTGTAGATCAGTACTTCACAACTTTTCTGACACCAATCACCCTTTTTTATTTCAAAAGCTCATTCACTCCACTTTGAATAAAGTAGAAAATAATCTTTGTAATTCTCATTGCTCATTATCATAGTTTATTTTTAGTTATGGCATTACAAGTTGGAAGTCATTTACTGTGGAAAAAAATATTGAATGTTTTCAATATCTTATACAGAAATGGTTACAAATGTACTGTACAGCAAATGACTTCTTAACTCCTGAATTTGGTCTGTGATTGCTTCATGGAGGTTTCAAGGGTTCCCTGCATCAGAGGATTGACATCATTAAGATCATTCAGCTGTGTTACTTGTTTTATTTGTATAAAAGCTGATTCCTTCTCAGAATGTGACCAGATTCGGTGCACAGTTAATGTTACTGCCCAGTTGAGTAAGGGTCTCATCATAATCAACACAGTAAGTACAGACCAAGAATGGGGTAAATATACACAAAAGTCAATTTTATACAAATAATGTATAAAGTTATAATTGTAAATAATTAATAAATAAACTTACCCTTATTCACTAGTTATAGGAACCATGACAGCAGCTATATAAAGAGAAGCTATTTATAGCAAGGACTTGACACTACATATAAATGGGGTTTCTGCTGATACCCTCCTTGAGTACTTGTCTGCCACACCACTACTCAGCTGGAGTATCTCCCAGGTAGCTCACAGCTCCTGGTGCACTGTTCACTTAACATAATCATTGCAATTATGTTCTGGCTCCAACAAGCCACACCTTCATTGCTCCTCTGGATTCCTCCTGGTGCATCTCACAAGTCATTCACTCTGTAGACCGAGCCATCAGATAACACACTTGTAGGCTCGTCTCTATAGTCATCCCCACAGCATCAATGACACATTTGAGCAACTCTCCATGGACTCCCAAGAAAGGCTTTGAAGGCAGTTGTGCAGATGACCAAGTACCAGGCAGGTAGGGTGAGCCAGCAGAACTGAACACCGGGTCCCCAGCCTTCCTCATGAAACTGCAAGGTGAGTGGAGTAAGTCATACATTAGCCAATGAAAAGAGTATTACTGTGGCGTGTTATGTGATTGCGTGAACAGTATCTAACAATCATATTGATAGTTGAGATACAGTAGTTTCCTCCATTCACTTTTAGAAGTTGCCGAGTCAATGACTCAAATTTGGTCGTGTATATCTTGTAATTTACCTCTAATAATGCAGTATATAAATTTGAACTTCACAACAATGTATAATTAGAAGCATCAACACAGTGTTGCCAATGCATAGGGTGATTACCCTATGGTTGGCAACACTGCATCAACATTATATGTTACATAATGTTAGGTATATGCCAGTGATTTCAATCTGCTACCACAACCAATTCTTACGTGGAACATTAATATCTTAAAAGAAACTAATGCTAGTGGTGAAAAAAAAGGTTTACAGTAATTTTGCTTATAATAAGCTTCATAGATATATTGTTTGCTGTTAAGAAGGTTATGAAGGAGGCCTATCTGAGATCCATGAACAAGTCAAGAAGTGACTATGAGGTGTCCTAGTTTATTGGTGCCATCACCAAACCTTCCAGTTGTACAGTATAATATGTGTGGGATTATTCCGGAATTTCTGTCACATGTTAACTTAACTTAACCTTACCTACCATGTAACTTTATGCGTGGATAGGGCAGTGGTTAAGTGAATACAGCTCAAGCCTCCTGTCCTTCAGAGTTGCTGGTTCACATTATGGGCAATCCCCAGTACACCCAACTGAGAATTAGCTGTAGATTAGCTCTTTAGCTTATTTCACTTTGTGAATGAACATTTTAATGGTATCTGTGACGTTTGGTTTGGTTAGTTTAGCAGTATGGTGGATAATCTATAGGTGAAATAAGCTGGGGTGTCTTATTTTCAGGTGAACCCTTAACTTTATAAATGGGAAAGTGATAGCTGTCGAGTGCAGTGCCAGCCATGTTAACTCCCTATGTACAGAAAATTAAGATTATTCAAAATGTTTTTTATCAACACTGATCCAAATAGGTAGTCAGGATTATGGGACCCACTTTCACTTATATCAAATCATCCTCTATTCAATTTCCGTCACTGAGAACACTTTTGCTGGTGAATTTACTCATCTGTTCATATGTTTGTTCGTCTATTCATCCACTTGTTTGTTTATTCATCCATTAGTTCAACATTCATCCATTCATTCATCTGTTCATCTGAAAATTATCTTTAGGTTTGGTTTGTTTAGATTAGATTTAGTTAGGATAGGTTAGGTTAGTTTAAAGTGGGGTCATTTACCTGAAGGTTAAATTTGGTTAGGTTCGGTTAAATTTAAATAGGTTAGCATTATGTCAAATTAGGTATGGTTTAGAATAGATTAACATTAGGTTAGGTTAGCTTTAGGTTAAGTTAAATTAACATTAGTTTACTTTATTTACCTATTGCCCACCCAGTAGAGATGGCCATGCTGAAGGAAGAAACCAATGCCCTGTGTAGGATCCCACCATTGTTTTGTTTTGGTCTCTAATTTTCACTCCCGGTACTGTTGACCATTCCATAGCTTGAACTGGTAAACTGTTCCATAGATCTACGACCCTCTGTGTCAAGAAGTGTTTCCTTAGGTTAGGTTAGGTTTGGTTAGATTCAATTAAGCTGGTTTAATGTTGGAATGAGTTAGTTAAGGTCGATTGGGCAAGGCTAGGTTGAGTAAGGTCAAATTAGGTTATGTTAGATTAGGGTAACAGTGCTAATAATAGTAGTGTATATAACAAGATTTAATGTTTTGTATCGCTGGGTCATAAGAGAGATTAAATCAATGGTGTGTGTGTGCGTGCGTGCACGCGCGCGCGCATGCGTGCATGCATGCATGCAAAAAATGATAATGAAGTACTTGTTATCACAATGGTAATAAAACAGTCACAAATTTACTATATTGTGATAATTAGTTCTCGGTAGTATAAAGTATATGAGGAGTTGGATACCTGGTCTGGGTAGTGGTACCATGAGGTGAGTTAACACTAACCCGAACCTAGCTATTTGACAACTGCCTCCCAACAGACCTGAAAATTAATAGATATTTGGTCTCGAGCAAAAATCCTAGAGTATGGATGTCCAAGACCGATATTTGGTATCTTTAGTCTACTATCTAAGAAATTTTTAAATACTTCCCTCTTCGTTTTTCCTTCATTTACATCGTTAATATTTCATATGTGTATCCCATTTTTCTCCTTTTATTGCCTCCATTCACGAGGGACGACTGTTGGGGGGGCGGTAAACTTAGTCTTGTCCTTGGAGACTTAAGGCTCACGCTCATTCGCTGGCTGACATTGGTGCACTCCTTACCCCAGGGGTCGAGGAGAGGTTTCCTTATACTAGCTTCCCATCACATCAACTTACAAATACTGCACTAAAAGAAACTCATCCTAATTGTATACAGTACATGATATTAAAATGTAAAAACAAAAGTATTTAAAAATAAGACACAAAACTTTTTAGAAGAAATCTACTTTAAGAGAATAAAAAATCGGTGTCCAGAAATGAAAGATAAGGGGGGTAAAAGTTGCCACCCATCGGCACATGTAAATCATTTGTGAGGGAAACGTCATAGAAGAAAGGTGTCAGAATTGTCTGAACTATTGATTGCAAAGATAAAAATCTCGATATTCGGCGGGTCTCAACTCAATGCAATAATACCAAAGGGGGAAGGTAGGAGGGGGTGAGGGGTCAGTGACAGGATGTTGTCTGCCTGTGCTTCCTCCCCCTTCCACCTCCTTAGGGGCTGCCTCAGGGCTCTTCCCCACATCCCCCGCCCACCCGCCTCGTGTATCAGACTTTAGTTTCCAGGGTGTGTTACATTGGGTTCATAGTCCCAACTGTCTGTATATATTCTCACCCATAGCGACACGTGAGCTTGTGCCCTTCAAGGCTGTGTTGTGGCCGCACGCCGGACACGTGGAGGTCAGTAAGTCACTTCCTCCGGATTTGACATTAAAGTGATCTTGCAAGTTTGTTTAGTTTCGCCCGTGTTACCAAGTCTGTCTAAAGTGAATGTTCTGTCTATT